TAACGTGCAGTAGATAGACACTGTACACTCTGTAGGAACTGCATGCAATTCAGTATCTTTCTTGTTTTGCGTTGCGCATGTGTGTCTCGCGGGTGTTTCGCGGGTGTCTCGTGTGATTCCCGAGTGTCATGCGTCGTCATCTGGGCATCAGGACAGCTATGATCGCTGCTCACGCGATACGGCTGCGATGGGTATGCACAAGCACCGGGTAAGCACCCGTCAAGTGTCTCCAGAATAGGGTCAGGCGACCGAGTGCAAGCTCGAGTTTGAGCCTAGGATGCCCGTGGGCAATTGGACGGGTGTCAGACGACCCTAGGGGCACAGATTAGACCTGGGGCTAGAAGCTCGAGTGCAAGCGTGCGCCTGGCAGTTCCGGTGGACCCATACGCCGCTTTTTGAGGGTGATCAATGACGCTGCTAGGGCCTGCGGTCTGGACACCCTCTGGGATCGAGAATGCAACGGGTTGACAATTGGAATACTCAACGGGATTATTTGACGTATGCTGCCAGTGAGTGTGGGCCCTGATGTGTATCGATCGCGATCACTCATACAAGTGAGGGACGCGCTCTGCAGGCCTGACGCGCGTACAGGTGGGACAGCCATGGGAGAGATTCTCTGCCAGTGGCGTGCGTGCCTGAGTTCGCGCGGTGCTCTCTGAGAACTAGGGGGATTCTGCGCGGCCCTTGAACGGGTGGGATATGTGGCGCCGCCGCGTGTGAGCCTAGCGCAGAGAAGGGGTGCGAGGGTCGAGGGTGGCCTGACAAACCGTTGGGCCATGATACGGTTCTGAGGGCCCTGCAGGCCTATGGGGAGCTGGAGCACTGCGGTGAGAAATGCGTGCGAGCGTGGAAGAGGGCTAGCCCTGCAGAGCAACGACCGTGGGGCGGGGGTTGCTGCTGCACGCGAGCACCCTAGGACACGGATGGCAATGCGACGAGCATTGGTGCTTCGTGAGTTAACGATCCTCTTCGTGGGACCCTTGTCCGATCGTGTTTGAGGGCATCGAAGAGCCCGGTGGCACTCTTAAAGGATTGCAAGGTTCGGGGGGCGCGTGTTACGTCAGAGCTGGTCTCGAGCCTCGTTGGCGCACTGCACCCTGGGATGTGCTTCGCGGTATGTACGCGCTAGTACGCGGTGTCGCGAAGCGGTGCCTATGATCGTCGCCGCACGGTTAATGGACGTCTTGTCACTTCGTGCGCCATGCATGCGCCGACGAGCTGGGAGCATGACGTCGCGCGCCGGGGCTGGGGCCTTCTTCGAAGCTATGCCGGCTGTCGCGGGCGACGCTACCTGGGGCAAGCGTCATGGCAAGCGGCCCAATAGCGAATTTGGCGGGTGGGAATAAAAATCGAAAAGTAGCCTTTGCTGTCATTAACGATCGGCATGAAAATCAACCTTGTGCGACCTGTTCTCGAGAGGGAATTTTGCTATGAGTATATGGGCGTCGACCGACTTAGATCGCGTGTGCTGCAGCATACCTTGTGAACATCAATGTCCGGGGAGACCATAATGCCAGAGGTGCGTCGCCAGACGGAAAGTAAGGTCAGCTGTACAGACAGCGTGTGCGCAACTGTTCGGAATTTACAAGCTGCGCTTGGCCTGACCCTCGTAAGGAACATCCTGAGCGCATTTTGCGCACGAGTGGACAAATCGAAACCTGATGGCCATTCAGAAGTGGAGTCTCAACTACGCATGCGCTCAGTCATCGAGCACCTTCTGAGTCACCTGTACTGCACATGCTGATGGGAAACGCACACGACCACAAGTAATGGGACGTCCTGACTGTCGCTTACAACATAGACTCGTCAGCTCAACGCTTCTTTGGGAGATGAAGTAAGACACGCACTAGTCAACTGCATCACCATCATAGTCCTACCATTCTTCCTTTTGCAACTCTCGGGCTTAAAACTCTCGGGCACAAATACGTAGAGGCTGAGCAAGTTCTCGACATGACCGGGAGCGCGACCGTGAATTCGCGTGAGTCATCGAGCCTTGTGTCGTGGTGTCGACCTCGAAGTGCTATGGTGTAGTGCGATGACATTGATAGATACGAATTAAGGTGGCAGAAAGCTGCCTTGCACGATTCAAGGGGCTCATGACAAGCAGAACTATCCATACATGTGCAGAAGGGCACGAGAAGTGATCGCAGAAGCATATACTCGGTGAAGAGGCCGCGGATTGCGTGCCGCTGGAGATACGAGGGGGAAGGGCACGGCCGCGAGGGAGGAAATCTTTGGCATGGCATGGTATGGCATGGCATGTTAACAAGCCTTGAGTGTCATTGCAACACTCACCTATACCCGGCTAGACTAGCTAAACGTGTCGGATCGTCAGTAAATAGTACTGTATTCAGGAGAATTCACACTATATGACACACTATATAATCTCCTGGCCTGTCTCCCTGGTCTTCCGGTGTAGTACCTGTAACTTGTAACTTGTAACTTGTACCCGATCAATATTCCTCTCTCCAGCTTTTCTTCAACATTCCCAAGTCTCCGAGAGCTTTTTCTAAGTCGTATTAGCACAAAATACGCGTATAAGTATGAATTATAGAGGTTTGGTGGGCAAGGAAGGTCGACGTGCACATGGAAGACAAAGAGAGTGTTGAGGAGGCACCAGCCAGCTTCCAAATTTGGGCACTTTGGCAAAATCCCGCCAATGTTCCTCCCATTTCTCATTCTATTTATGGCTTATTGCCTGACAGTCTGTATCCGAGTCTGATGTAAGTGTATCTCGGATATAGCTTTAGTGGAAACCGGTGGGGGGTGTCCACAGAGCTCGAGTGAGTTCCTGGTCTGGCCGAGTAGTGGGCGGCCATCGGTAGCGCTACCCTCGGGCGCATCAATTGATGCGGACAGATTCATCGTACCAAATTCATGACACCATATAATTTACTATCATAAACAAGCTAACAGCCTCAGCAAAATCACGCATCTACACAGATATTGTCAAACTGTCGCTGCCTCTAGAGGCTCCTCTTCAGTGGTACCTCCTGCATCCGCTTGCGCTGCACGTTCGTGCAGAGTGCGCCACGGTGGAAGCTTGAAGCAAGCCGGGAGCTCCTCCCAGGCGTTCTTCCGGCCGCTTCTGTACGAAGCCTGGGGGGCCTTGCGACGGTGGCTGCACAGGTTGTGGACGGGCCTCCCCTCCGCGAAGATGACGATAGCGAACGAGTTCATGACGCAGTGTGCCGACCCGGGCCGTTCAAGGAGGTGGAGGAAGATGCGTCGGACGGCGTAGCACTGGGGGACGGAGCGGCACTCGTCGTACATGCGCATGTCGTTGGAGAAGAGCAACGTGAACGTGTGCGTGCGCGAGAGCGTCGCGTCTAGGCCGAATGTGCGTGCGGCGGTGACGATCGTCTCAATGTCGCGCTGAAACAGACGGTTCATGCGGCGGGAATGAGGACTTGCGCGTCGGCGTTCCTTGCTGCGCTAATGATGGCGATGTGAGAGTCGATATCGTCTAGCGGAAGTCTGTGCAGCAGATGCGTGGACAAATGATGCGATCCCGCTCGGACGACGAGTTCCCATTCCTCCAGAGTGTCCGGGTAGGTGCATTGCAGGATGGTGATAATTCGTTTGCGCAAGCCATCTGCAGGATCATGGCGTATTCGATGCAGGTACCCTGAGATAAGGAATCTGCCGCACCATAGTTCGAGGTCAGCATCTTGTTCAAAGATCGTGTCCGCATCCGCAAATTCTGTCAAAAACTTACTCGTAGGGAGGGGAAGTAGCCAAGAGGAACAGTTTCATGTGAACGAGATCGTCATGGAGTTTGACAAGAAGACACCCGTCGTATGACTCCACGCCAGTGTCCGGTTGCGGCAGCGAGAACATGTCTTGAAATACAGCCGACTCGTTGCTGAGGATCCCTTTATACAATTTGAACAGAGTGTCGTCTACCTGCAAGACAACGTTCCCGTCGTCGTACCAGACATCTGGAGATCGATTTAGTGATATCGGTGACTCCGACATGACGTGTTAACGTCGGTTTCTGCAGAACTAAACAGATGAGTAGAGCGTTCAAGCTATTTCTGAGGACGCATAGCTGCAATCAAATCCATACCTCAGAAGTTAAGGTGCAAGTCGTACGCAAGAGG